CTAGAAGAGTAGGAGTAGAGTTTTAAATTTTCCAGGAAAAAAAATTAGGAAATTCAGAATTGTCTTTAAAGAAACAACGTAATTTTTTTCTGTCTAACTTGGGTAGATTATTCAAGGAGAAAAATCACATTTTCTTCCCAGTCCTTATTCTGCCGGTCATAATGTCTTCGAGTACAGGAAAACTGTTTGTATCCTCACAGAAGTAGAATGGGATCCCTCTTTATGCTCTGCTCCGTATCCTCCACTGGTCTCTGATATTGTCTGGTTGATCTTGGCTTGCTCCTGGGCACTGTACTGCTCTATCTTGAGGTACAATCGGTTGAATTCAATATTTTTTTTAGGGTCATGCTGTATTCTTACTTCTTGGTAGTGCTGGGCCACAGAGCTTTTGTCACTATGGCCCCTCCACTAACAGCATCTTCAGCCCCTTGTGATATGTGGGTCACTTGCAGCAGCCATCTCCACACAACACTGAACTGCACAAAGTATTTTTTGGTGTATTGTCAACTCTCTGCTGAGCATCACCATTTTTTAAAGTAGAGCTCTTTGCCATGAAACATAAAGCATTTTCTGGCTATGCCTTAAGAGGTGTGTAAATAAAGCCTGCTCCCTCTCCACCTCTGACTCCCCTACAAACTTTTCTTGCATGCTTTCCCGAAAGAATGTTCTTCCTCTAAGCTCAAATATGCAGGGAAGGAATAAGCATGTGAGACTCTGCTCTAAACTCCCTCCTGTCCTGCCAGCTTCTACTGGAAAAAAGATTCTCCTTCCTCTCTGTATCATTGATAATGACAAAACTCAGTATTCCAATATCTAGGATTTATTATTTGGGGTTTGGAAAGTCTTTGTTCTTCTAGCCTGACACTGACAGTTTGGCATTCTCAGGGGACATAACAGGTTGGAGAAGAAGGATGTTCCATTTCTATTTGCTTTTCTACTTCAATCAGTCTACTTCTATCTCAAAAGGGCCTTGTGCAAAAGAGTAAAATCGCATTACTAATGTGTTACCATTCACTTTGCCAGGTATTTTCATTTTTGTCTTCTGATCTACTCTCCATCCTCCCCGCCTCCATCCTGCTCTTGACCCAGGAGAGCAACTTCACTGCCTTGGACTTCCTTGCTATTTGCCTTCAGGTTGGAGTCAGTCAGCAGTGGCACAGGTAAAAGGCTGGCGGTTTGGGGTGGAGACAGTGTCTATTCTTTCATTTCCCCACCTTCTTCTACAGACAGCCAGAGTGCCTGCCCTTCAGCAGTCTCCTACAAGCACAGCTTCCAAGTCCATTCCAGCTCCAGCTGCGGCTCCCTCTCTACACATTCAGGTAAAGGAATTCGATTATTTCTCCTCTCAGAACTCTCCAGTAATACAACACTCCTCCTTTGTTTCCTTTAAAATGTTTCAAAGAATCATTCCTGAGAATCTCCTCAGGTATGACATTTGCCTCCCTCAGGGCCATCGCTAATAAATATATAATGTCTGTATAATTTGATGTAGTGCAATTTATTAGACATTCAGTCCATCTGGCCTCACGAGCAGTGCTTTGTGGGTCTAGAAATGCCAGGCCTCACGTGCTAGATTAGGAATCTTGAATCGTAAAAATTCTTATGTCCTCCCTCCATTAGGAGTGAGAATGCACTAAATGCTGTCTGACAGTCCATTTAGTCCTTTTAGCTGCTGTTTTGGACACGGTGGGCACAGTGATTAGACGGAAGTTACTTGCTATGGAGTCTACATGCATTGGCATTAACAATGTTCCCACTATAGGCGGAATTATTCATTTTAAAGTGAGTAACTTGTAATTAACTGTTCTGGACATACCCCTGCTAACAAATCTATTCTACCCACATCCCATGTGACTGTGATAAAGCAAAGCCATGCTGGGCTGAAATTTGAAGACTTAGAATCTGTAATTCAGCAGTGGCTGCTTGAGAGAACAGCAAGAAATAGGCAGGGAAGGAATATGGAGGCCATGATTGGTTGAGAAACAATTTTCCTTCTCAAAAGAGAGCTAAACTCTCCTCTAAGGAGGATTTTCTTATTCACAGTCCTTGAGAGTTCTATCTTGAACAACTCCCTGTTTTTTTACATAAAAAAAGGAGTCTTTGGTGACTCTCCTTGTGGACTTTGAGCTTGGTCTTTTAGTGAAAATGGCATCTCCAGCACATAAAGGAACAAGCTGCGCCAAGCCAGGGAAGCTTCTTTTTCTTGCCATACCCAGATCAGACTTGCTTGGCCTACAGATGAAGCCATTATTTTATGACATCACTGCACTGTTTCTCATGCTAGGCTTTGGGGCCATCCTGACTCATGAATCAAAACTCCACAACTTTTTTTCTTTCCCTGGCCCTGACCTTCCACACTCCTTCTCCTCAGTATTTATTATTTTTTTGGTGATGACGATGATGATGCAGCCTCCCAGATGGATTGCTTTGCTTGATCCTGGATCTTTTGCACACCTGCTACTCCTGCTGAGTCTTGCCATTGGGATTCCACTGTCAAACAGGACTTCCAAGGTACTTTTGTCACAGCATGTCTCCTTATCATACACAGTCAAGGCAGGTCTTTGTGCAGAAATGGAACAATTGAAATCACGCTGAGCCTTGTTAAGCTCAAATGCATTTGTGGAATATATCCCAATACCCACTTTAAAAAATACCTGTAATAGCTACCACTTGTCTTTTCCCATAATTTTAGGTTTATATCTGAGAATTCAGTTTTGCAGCTGGATCCTGGCTGTTCTCTAGGGCAGACTTAAGCCTAGGGCAGGGGGAAAGAGTGAGATCAGAAAATTCAGCTCCAAGTAGAGTCTATGTTTTCTACCTCTGGCCTTATGGTCTGGGTCTGTTGCTACCAACCAAACTCCTCGATACTCACCCCATCCCCTAGTCCAGGGCAACTGAATATGCTCAGTAGTCACTCTGGCTTCACCGCTAAGTGCTCTGGAAGTATTTGAGGATCCTCCTTTGATACTATATACTTTAGAATGCCTTCTCATCCCCTTGACCCTCATAGTAGCATGAAGGGCATCAACATGTTTTACATTTATTCCACATCTGAAATAAAGTACAAAGCCCTCAAGGGATATTTATCTTCTGGCTTTGACAAAAACCTGGTCTTGAATATATAGAAACACAGGTTGGTCATGTGAAATCTAAATCGCTTATAATCTCACTGTCCTGTGATGACCATGACTAACATTTAAAGGCTCTTTTAGTCTGTGAAAATTTTTTGTAGTGTTGAAGTCATTTTAGACATAAAACTTTGGAACCTAGAATTCAGCATCCAGTACATCTTGAAGTCCTTTATTTTCTTTTATATCATCACACAATTTTTTGTCCTCATACGAAATTGGTTCCAAAACTAAGGGGTACGTACTAAATCATCTTAATAGGAAAATAAAATAATCCCTGAGCTGAGGTAGACATTGCCTTATACTGTCACAGGAAACAGTCCTGGGGCTGGCATTATGCAGACCACCTTAGTTCCTTCATCCACAAAATGCCTAATTCTTTTTGTTTTCTGAGGTGCTGGGGATAGAACACAGGACCTTGTGTGTGATAGGCAAGGGGGTTACTACTTGAGCTACACCTTTAGCCCTAATGTCTTTTATAAACTAAATAAATCCTAGTGATTCTTTTCAAGTCAGGCAGGGAACAATACTTAGTATGGTTAGCCTGAGACAGTGAGTCTGATTCATATACTAGTTAAATAAAACAAAGTGTGTCTCCCAAAAAAGAGTGTTTGTGGTGAGAAATGTACCTCAGAAAGCAGAGCTCTGATTGGCCAACCTTACTTGCAGGCAATGCCAAGTTAAAGGGAAGATGAGAGTGAGTGGAAGCCATCTTTTTCAGTTGCCTAGACAACTTGTGGCCCCATCTTTTGCCCCAGAATTCCCTCTATTGGTCACTCTTCTGGATTAAGATATGAAAGAACTTTGGAATAACACAAATTTGTCACTTGAGCTACAAGCTTTGATTCATACTATATGTATGATCAGCACCAATTTCCTCACCATCATGGAGGTTCTACCCAAAGATCTGAGCTTGAGAGGGTCTGGTGGAGTACTGCTAGATATCAAGGAAGAGCAGCTTTAGGAGGGAGGTGTGGTGTACACAACAGACTTTCTATCAAGTCTTTTGCCTTCTTTATGGGGATAAGGAAGGAGGAAAGACCCTAATAGAGTGACTATTTTTTCCCTTTGACAAGTTTATATTTGAAAGGAAAGAAAGGCAGGCAGGCGGGGAGGAAGAACAAATGGACAAAAGGAAGAGAAAGAAGGAAGGAAGGAAGGAAGGAAGGAAGGAAGGAAGGAAGGAAGGAAGGAAGGAAGGAAGGGAGGGAGGGAGGGAAAGAAGGAAGGAAGGAAGAGAAGGAAGGAAAGAAGGGAAAGAAGGAAGGAAGAGAAAGAAGGAAGGAAGGAAGGAAGGAAAGAAGAAAGAAAGAAAGAAAGAAAAAGAAAGAAAGAAAGAAAGAATGGGTCAGTGGGCACTGGCTGGTCTTGCAAAGAAGAAAGAAAGAAAGAAAGAAAGAAAGAAAGAAAGAAAGAAAGAAAGAAAGGGAAAGAGTTCATGGGTATGTGAAGAGCCAGACTGCTTCATGCTTAGAAAAGCTAATTCGGCAGATGTTTATTCTTGACATAACAATTTCATCTGTGGGTAGAACAGAAAGCTTTCCTTGGGAGTGGTAGTAAGGTTCAGCCATGGCCCAGAGCCCAGACCACTGGGCAGGGGTGCTTCCTGTTGGGAGAAGGAGCCATATTCCCTTGTTACTTGGGACAGCCTGAAGACCCATAGGCTGGCTGTGATGTGCAGATTGAATAATTCAGCATGAAGACTGCCAACAATTTTTGGCCTCAGCTTTTTGACTGGTTTTCATTTAGCAACAATTTCATTTTCCCCAGGACAATTCATATTTTAAAGAAGAAAAATTCAGCAACCTTTAGTCAACTTGGCAAGTGAGGAAGTGGGTGAGAGTGGTCCAGAAAAATAATTACCAAACTTACTGTCTCCATTAAACACCCCAGAGCGGCCATCAGTGGTTCGTTCTTCTGTGGTTAGAGAAGAGAACGTCGTATCCCGGAGAAATGACAGCCACTCACGCTCATCCCGCCACGAGGCTTTGAAAGCCATTGTCACTCCGTACCAAGCTGGTGGTGACAGAGGAGTGATGTTACCAAACTGGGTTTAGTCCCTACTCCTGTGCTCACAGCTTCCTCCACAATCTCTTCTGGAGTCTGTAAATACCAGGGAAAGCTAGCCATATCACCAAGTACTCCAGTAAACCATAAACTGACTTGGCATGCCAAATTCAACCCTTGAAGAAACTCGACAGTCCTCACCAGATAGTGCTGCCTTCTGCCTCCTGCCCACCCCGCTTCCAGCAGAAAACTGGGCCAACATCTTGGAAAAATGGTTTCCCAGACATACAGAGGCCTTTATTCATTGCCCAGGCATAACCTTTCATTTGGGTTCACAAAACTTTCTCAGGCTGACAACATGCCCCACTTAATACTAATAGTCTCTCCAGCCTGATATGACCGTGACAGGTCTATAGTATGGCCTGATGACAAGACCACAGAAAATATTCAACCACCCTTCTGCTTTTGTTACTCAAAGCATCAACATGGGTCTAGCCTTCTTAGTTTGTGCTGCAAATACACAAAGTGTGAAAGGATCATATTCTAGCTCAGTAACAATATGGGACCACTGTCAAGTACAAAATTTGTACCCTTGGCATACACCTGTTTGAAATGACCTTTCCAGCCCCAGGCACTTGGTTGCTGTCTATATTCGACAGGTCTGACTCAGACCTCTTGCCCTATGCTTTGGTCTGGTCACTTGATAGTAACACTTTAAACACAAAGTAGATTTTAATTTTCTTTTCTTTTTAAAAATTTTCTCTTTACGCTTGAGAATTTCTACATGCATATAATAAAATGTGATCATACCTACCTGACAATTTTCTCCTTCACAATACTCCCTGTATCCTCTAAAACGCTTCCCTTATATCTTTAAGTCTTTTTTAATTCTTTTGATAACCTATTAATCCAAGTTGTACACAGGGGTGGGGCCATCTACTGGTGTCTACTGGTGACCACATCCTCAGTAAAGAATTATTCTCCTTCTCCCAGCAACTACCCACCGCCAATAGCTCCTCAGTGAGGGGTGGGGCCTGGAGATCATCTCCTCCATCTGTTCTGGGATTTGGATTGACTTGGTCTTGTGTAGGTTTTGTGTAGGCCCAACAGCCGCTGTGAGTTCATGATTGTGACAGTCATGTCATATCCAGAATCCAACATGTCACAGCACTCGTCCCCATCCTCTGGCTCTTACATTCCTTCCACTTCCTTTTCCACGATGCTCCATGAGACTTGGGGCAGGAAGGGGTAATACAGAAGTCCCCTTTAAGACCTTTCAGTCTTCTCAGCACTTTCACCAGCTATGCATCTCCTCACTGAATAATGTCTACTGCAAAAAAAAAAAATCTTCTCTAAGTTTGAGAGCAGCCCAAGTCTGTATTATAATTCTAAACATAAGTACACCAAACAAAGGTGCATCCATTTTCATAAAAAAAAATCTGTAAGAGTTTTTTTATATATTTTATATAACCACAGATTAACCCCTATACAGTGATAGTGGGTGACTTCAATACCTCCCACACACATACCAAATCAAATGGATCTAAATTTCTTATATAACTATGTTTGTAACCTACTGTTTTCAACAACTTTGAAAAGATGCATAGCCATCTGGATAAAGAAAGAATTATTAGAGACTGAGCAACAATCAAGTTCTATCCAGACTACATAGACCTAAGTAGATTACATAGCTATGAAACTCACAGTAAATGTTCAGAAAACTATTGCAATGAATTCATGGTGGACATGGCACAGATGTAAGGTCACTGAATTAAAGTTAATTTAGGTGTTGTCTTAGTTTCTCGCTCCATTGCTGTGACAAAACACTCTGACCACCACCAACTTGGGGAGGAAAGGGTTTGTCTTACATCTCCCAGGTTACACTTCATCAGGGAGCCCAAGGAAGAAACTCAGGGCAGGAACCTGGAGGCAGGAGCTGGAGCACAGGCCATGGAGGACCCCTGCAAGTCAGTAGACTTGCTCCCCTGGCCCCTGCTCAGCCTGCTTTCTTATGCAACACAGGCCCACCTGCCCAGGGATGGCACCACCCACTGTGGGCTGGGCCCTCCCACATGCCTCAACAATCAAGAAGGTGCCTCATGGACATGGCCACAGGCCAGTCCAATGAAGGCAATTCCCCAGTTGAGGTTCCTTCAACCCAGATATGTCAAGTTGACACTAAAGCTATCCAGCACAGGTATATAAAGGGTTATTCTATTGTTGACATTATTATTGCTAGAAAGCAAATTTTCCTGGTTATCCTTTTGAGAACATAGAGAAATTTCCTAGTGAAATTTAAGTCAAATAAGGTTACTTTGGAGCAGGGTTTTAAAAGCCATAATATTCTATAATATTCTGCCATCCCCTTGCCTCCCCTCCCCCCGAATAGAAAGGAAGGCTCTAGGAGAGGCTGTCCATCATTCTTGTCTTAGGCCAAGGATGGTGCAATGAACTCTAACCAATGCACAATGGATGCTTGGTGACACAGGGAAATGAATCTTTGTTGTTTTAAGTCATTGGCATTTCAGAGTTGTAATTTTCAAATAATCTAAGCTGTTCTGATTAATACAGCTGCCTGGGTTCTACTTTGCAGGTGAATAGAGAATGTGTAGTTAAAAAAAATATGGCAGAGGCCCTGGAGAGATGGCTCAGCTGTTAAGAACATTTGCTGTTCTTCCAGAGAACCCAGGTTCAATTCCCAGCACTTCACATGGTGGCTAATAACTGCCCGTAACTCTGGTTCGGGATCCAACACCCTCTTCTGGTCTCTGCAGGGCACTGTGTGCACGTGGTACTCTTATATACATGCAGGCAAAACACCCAGATACATAAAGTAAAAATAATAAATAATTTTTTAAAAAAACAAAAGCAGAGCTTCTGGCTGTGGGTTTTTGTTGGGTTCTTAAGACAGCATATTTTGAATAAGAGCAGATGGTGGTTCTAAGCCCCTTCTTTGGATCAGCAGCTAACTCGGAGTTGCTATTCATGCTTGTATTCTAGCAATACCCTAAATCCTAGAAAACTCAAAGAACAGGACCTGTTAAACCACTTAGTAAACTTTGCCAACAGCACCGAAAGGAAAACTTTCATTTTGTGTGCATTTTTCAGATCACCCTGAGCTCAATCATCACATAGAATGAGCACAAAAGGGTGCTCTGTGTTCTCTGATTAGATGAGTGTAGACCAGAGAGTAAGCTGATCTCACAAAAATGCAGGTGATAGCTACATTGGTGAAGCTTTTAGGGCTCTGTGGTATGGAGTGTGTGGAGACCTCTTCTCTACTGTAAAAATAAGCACTGCACAACTGTAAAACTGTTTGCTCAGACCTGAAACCTGCCCCCTGAAAGGAAGAGGGAGGCTTGTAGAACTCAGGAAGTCAGAAAAGCTTACAAGGCTCAGCAAAGTCAGAAAGCTACAAGATTTGAGGCCCCTCTCTAAACGTATATAAGCAGTCAGCTGCTGCTGGGGAAAGGAGACTGAGTATCCAGCCCTGAATGTTGAACAGACAGCTCCAGGGCCGAAGCTTTGTAAAACCCAAGTCACTACCCTTGCTGTGGTGGGCTTTGTAGTGATGTAACTGCCTCTGAGTCATTCATGCTCCTGTCTGTAACCCCTCATCCTTTCTCTTGAAAGTAACCCCTGATCCACACTCCTGGAAGTAACCCAATAAATTCATGGTCTACCACATTGAACTTGGCTGGACTCATTTGGTCTGTCATTGGTACACCATCTGGGGTAAATAGATATTTCCTCCTAAGGAAAAGGCACACAACACATATCTCCCACCACTAAGAAGCACGGTATTTAGTTGACCTCTCTCAAATTTGAAGATAGCATACACAATACTGCATTTTGAATAATGTTTAATCTCATTTGTCATGTAACACAGAAGGACCTTAATTTTGACTAAGGCCCAGAAGAAGCAAGTGGACCCCAGAAGGCCCACTTCAGCATGAGCTACATGATCCAGCAGATACACAATAATGACAGATATATTTAAAGTGTTTAAAACACTGGGTGAGGATGCTATATGGAGTCTATGTCAAGCTACAAGATATGATCCAAGAACTCGAAAACAAATCCACATCTGCAGTGACAAATCATCCATCATGTGATAAGCAGGTATGGGCCCTAGCCATGACAAGGGGTGGATTAATCACTTTGCTGTTGCTGTGACAAAACACCATGACCAAGATAACTCACAGAAGGAGGAGTTTATTGAGCATGTGGTTCCAGAGGGATAAAAGTCCATCACAGCAGAAGAGGCATGGTAGGAGGAACAGAAAGCTCAGCACACCCATCTTCAAACAGGCACAGGAGCCCAAGAGAGCAAGCTGGATGTGGGGTCAGGCCATGAGCTCTCAGACCTGCACCCTGTGACATGCTTCCTCCAGCAAAGCTACACCTCTTAAGCCTCATCAAACAGTGCCACCAACTGGGACCAAGTGTTCAAACACTTGGAGCGCGTGGGGGACATTTCTCACTCAAACCACCACAAAGGGCTTCGGTGATGATCCAGAGTCAGGAAGGAACAAAACTGAGCAATACGAGACAGACAATTTAGTGGTCTAAGTAGCTAAATCCATAATAACCAAGCAGGATCACACTTCCTGCTTCTTCTAGGTCTGAGACAAAGACCTGGCTGGATTTTTCTCATGGTCTCTGCTTCACTTCCTGCCTCCCAGTTCCTGCCTTGAGTTCCTGCCCTGGCTTTTCCCAATGATAGACTCTAATCTTTAAGGCAAATAAATCTTCCCCTACGTTGACTTTGGTCAGTGTTTTATCACAGTAACAGAGAAGCAAACTAAGATGCATATTCACCGGACAGTCTAGAGGTCTGGAGAGGAAGCAGATCAAGGACTGGGCATTCATGTTCAAATAGGTTATCTTACCTGTAAGGGTTTGGTTCTCTGCTGAATTGCTTTGTTGATTTAGGACTGGCAGCCTCTCAAACAGTACCACAGAGTAGCAAAAATAGATTGGACTTACTCC